ACTTCAAGTTGTATCTCTTTAATATACTGAGAGTTTCCTACATGTGCTTCAAATGGTCCTCTGCTCGCAGGGATTTAACCAGCATATCATCAATGTAAACTTCCATAGATTTCCCTATTGGTTCTTCGAATATCCGATTTACTAGGTGTTGATAAGTGGCACCATCATTTTTTAATCCAAATGGCATTACATTATAGCACTAGGTACCATACTTAGTGATGAACGAGATCTTTTCCTGATCATCCGGGTTCATCTGAATTTGGTTGTACCCAAAATAGGCATCCAGAAAACTGAGGATCTCGTGGCCGGTCGTGACATCGATCATGCGATCAATATTAGGCAAAGAAAAAGAATCCTTGGAGCATGCTTTATTTAGATCTTTGTAATCTACGCACATTCTAAGTTTGTTTCCTTTCTTATGGACTACTACTACGTTTGCTAACCATTCGGGGTATTTTACCTCGCGGATAGACCCTATTTTAAGAAGCTTGGTTACCTCGTCTTTGATGAAAGCATGTTTGACCTCAGACTGGGGTCTTGTTTTTTGCTTTACCGGATGGAACTTCAAGTCCAAGCTTAGTTTATGGGTGGTGATTTCTGGTGAGTTCCATGTCATGTCGACATGGGAACAAGCGAAACAATCCATGTTAGCTATAATAAATTGAATAAGAATTATTTTAAGCTCGGGATTTAGCCCCGTGTCCAGGTATACCTTTCGTTCGGGGAGATGTTTGATTAGTATGATTTTCTCTAGCTCTTCTACCATTGACTTGGAAGTGTCGGACTCATCGGGAACTATGAAAGATCGAGCGAGCCCATAATCATCATCTTCGTCAGTCCCCTGCTTTTCTAGTTGGGTCGAGGACGGCGTTTGTGATTGTTATTTGGCCTCATGTTTACCCTTCGAATTTGAATCATTCGTCGATGAGAGTGACGATATCGGGGTCACTTATTAAATGGAAAACATTTCACTTGCGGTGGGTTGCTCCCCGTATATTGTTTTGATTCCCTCGGGTGTTGGGAATTTTAAAACTTGCTGAAGAGTCGAGGGCACTGCTCTAATGTTGTGGATCCATGGTCTCCCGAACAGGGAGTTATACCTCATGTCCCCCTCGATCACATGAAACTTCATCTCTTGGATGGTCCCGGCCACGTTTACTTGCAAAGTTATCTCGCCCTTAGTAGTTTCACATGCCATGTTGAATCCGTTTAGCACTAGGGTCGTGGGCACAATCCGGTCCTGTAGGTGGAGTTGTTTTACGACCTTCGATCAAATGATATTGGCCAGACTACCTGGATCAATTAATACACATTTAACTTGAGTTTTATTCATGAGTACAAATATTACCAGCGCATCATTATGGGGCTGCATGATCTCTTCTGCATCTTCATCGTTGAAGGACAAGTTTCCTTTCAGTATGTAATCTTGAGTTCGAGATCGATTCTCGTTTACGATTGACACCTTAGTGCATTTTAGCACTGGCCCTTGGGGAACATCGATCCCTCCAATAATTATGTGAATAACGTGTTGCGGTTCTTCTTGCTCGTTTTGTCTATTGAACTCTCTATTTTTTAAATGGTTCTTGGCCCGATCACTTGGAAATTCTCAAAGATGCCCTTCATTGAATAACCGGGCTACTTCTTCTCTCAACTGTCTACAATCTTCTGTTGTGTGGCCATGGGTTCCATGATACTTGCACATTTGGTTGGGATTTCTCTGGGCCGGATCGGTCTGTAGAGGTCAAGGCCATTTAGTATCTTTGATGCGTCTGATAGCCGATACAATGGCGGGTGCATCAACATTGAAGTTATATTCCGACAATCGTGGTGCTTCTTTAGGTCCAGTATGCCGATTGAAACTATTCTTGCTCATGAGCCTTTGAGAGCTCTGGCCTCGATCATTTCTCCTTTCACCTCGTACGGGGTTGCGCCGGGGTCCGTTACCCCTATGATCTTTGTTATATGGATGGTATCGATCCCTGTTAAATCTTGGCTCTCGATCAATGTCCCTTTTAGTTCTATCAATGGGCCTGATAGGATAAACGGACCCGGATGGAGCCCTCAGATGGTCGTCTTCGACCCTAATCTACGATTGAGATCGACTATGCACATCGGCCCAGCTAACAACCGGGTACTCAATCAAGTTTTGTTTCAACTGTTGTGAAGCCACTGAGCTTCGTTCATTTAGTCCTTGAGTAAAATCTTGAACGGTCCAATCATCTGTGACCAATGGTAGATCCATTCGTTCTATTTGAAAATGAGACACAAGCTCTCTAAACATCTCGTTATATTTCTGCTTTACCTTGAAAAGATCTGACTTCCTAGTCTCGACCTTTATGGCTCCGCTGTTTGTTTTTACAAAAGAATATGCAAGCATGGCAAAAGAATCGATAGAGTTATGTGGTAAATTATGGTACCATATCATCGCTCTCTTTGACAGTGTCTCCCCAATATTTTTCAGCAAAACAGACTTGATCTCGTCGTCTTCCAAGTCGTTCCCTTCGATAGAACACGTATAAGAGGTTACATGCTCGTTTGGATCGGTCGTTCCATTGTACTTTTGTATTTCGTGCATACAAAATTTTTTAGGGATCGATTTTGGGGCCGCGTTCGGAGGAAAAGGCTTTTGCACGAACTTCTTTGAATCCAGTCCCTTCAGTATCAGGGGCGCCCCAGGGATTTGGTCTACCCTAGAATTATAGGTTTCGACCTTTTTATCATTTGCTTCGATCTTATTTTCCCCTGACTCTATCCGCTTTGTCAATTCCTCAAGCATTTTTATGATTTCGGGGTTAGTCCCCGATTCATGTTCATTTGATCTTACCACGGCTGGCCCCGTTCTGTGGGTGATCTCTTGAGGTGGATCGGGCTCAGCACTGATCGGTACCTGGGTTTGGCTCTGCAACTGAGCTATTGCCACATGTTGAGCTTGCAGCATTTCAAAGATCATTCGTAGGCTGATCCCGTCATTCGGGACCAGTATGCTAGTTCACGACGATGGCCACATGCGAATTAACGTCAATTAGATCGACGGCCCGAGTCCCAACAGGTTCAGCGGGTGACCTTACGTCACCGGGCATCACATTGTTATTCTCACCTTGATGGCCAGATCCGTTGTTGATATGCACGGGTAGTAATTGAGAGTTCGCCATCTTTATCCTGAAATCAAAGACACTTCAAAGAGCAAGTGTAAAATTATGTGTTTTATAGAGATTTGTACCAAATAACCACAATTATCCTTAGCCCCACGGTGGGCGCCAAACTGTTTACCCGAAAAATGGATAACAATTGAATTTGAACGTGGTTTTAAGGATACGTGATTTATAACTTGGTACAAATAGAGAAAAGATAAATATTGGTATCGAAATTAGTTGTAAACGAAATAAATGCAAACCGAATGAATTAATTAGCCTAGGCTCTCAAGTTTGATCATCCTCAAACTGAATGGAGGGTAAACTGATACCACAACAAAATGACTTAATATTGAAAACCAGAAGAAAGGCAGTATATTGCTTTATATTCTATGAATGAATCCCCTCTACAAATGATCAGACCTTCCTTATATAGTAGGGAAGTCATATTCTTAATATAATTTCTAAATACTGCAAGGAATCCCATGATAGATTAATTATTTGGCCTCTTCTTGATATGCGCCTGAATTTCAGCCGAGATTCTCGCCCAATTGCGGATATTCCGGCTTTCTGTTTTTTGGCTCGATAAGCTCTCCTCAATCTTGGCCGATCTCGATCTTGATCGGTCTCCGGGTCACAAGCTCGACAACCTAACTTCGCATTATGGCTCGATATTATACGAGGTCGAACTTTGCACACTCATATTCTACTCTTGATAAGTCACGTGAAAGGCAGGTTCGATTTTGACCGTGTACATTTGGCAAAATTAAAGTTCAAGTGCCAAGAAAGTGATGTCAATTACCCATACTTTTAATCAAATATGGATTGATACAGTAATCTGGAATGGTTCTAGCATACATGATTTCTAAAATTCAAATGCGGGCAGATTCGAATTTCATGATACTTGAATCCTTGCTTTTTTGAATTCAATATGCTCATACCCCCAACAAAATCTTGAAGTATGGGCATTTGTAGGCATGCAAAATTTATTGAATTTTAAATCTAATAAAATTATGTGGACTATATTTTAAATTCAAAGTATATTAGTCAAATAAATATTATGGGCTAATATAATTGAATTAATTATATAAGTCCAATACATATGGGTTAAATAAATATGTTTTAATTCATTAGGCTAGCCCATTTAATTGGGCTAAAGTGATGAGCTCACTTTATTAAGCCCAAGATGTCATCTTCCTAGAGGCCTAATTTGGTACAACGTGTCAAATGATGTGGCACGCCAAGTCAAACAGAAGAGCCAATGGGATCACGCCACATGTCAAAATGACAAGGCACGCCAAGTCAAATTGAAAGGCCAATGAAACCACGTCACATGTGCGAGTGACATGTTCTAACCAATCAAATAGGGCATTGTCACTCTTAAATCTGATTGGTCGGAAAGAGTTTGTTCTCATCACAATTCTTCCCTCCCACAACTATAAATAGGAATCTTCATAATCCAGAAAAAGGACTAAAAGTTATAACAAGAAGCAAGAAAGAGCTCGTGGATCAAACGCTGTAAATTCCTCCACAAGTTTCAAGCTTCAAGCAATCAAGTTCAAGCTCAAGAACGAAGAACAAATCAAGTTCAAGTTCAACAATCAAGCTCAAGCACAAGAACGAAGAACAAATCAAGTTCAAGTTCAAGCAATCAAGCTCAAGCTCAAGAACAAAGAACAAATCAAGATTCAAGGAGTACGAGTTCAAATCAAAGTTCGTGCCAGTTGAATTCAAGATCATCGTTCGTGGCAACAACTACATATTAAAGATCAAGCTCAAGGGCCCTTGAATTTATTTACTATTGGAAAGAAGAATCAAAGGATTCATAGAGATTGCACACTCGTATTATTTGAAATCAAATACTACGATTGTTGCAATATTTTTCGGCCTGGATTTTATTTTCTCGACGCAATTTATTGTCTACAATTAGCACAAAAAAAATCTAAAACTAGGTGCAAAGCCACATTATAATGATTCAAAATTCATAAACTAAAAATTCTAACTTCGCCTCGACCTAGTAAAAGCAGATTCCAAGCATGCCCATGATGGAAAACCACAAGAAAGAATGAGATGAAACAGCACTTGCTTCAGATGGATTAGCTTTTCGTTGGGCACTATTTACCTGAGAACCACTAACTTGTATATGAACTTTCTGGCCAATTTGGCAATGGCCAGGAAACCCGCAAACGTAATAGTAATCGCCAGGGGCTGAAAGTGTAAAAGAGTCTTTGCCTGTGTTTAAAGTGGCCATTGGATCTGTAACTGTGCATGAATAATATTCTTGGCTACTCACTTGCATCACATTGTGGTATTTGTTGTTGTAATTGAAATCTGCAAGTTCAATTGACACCCTCAATTAGTCCATAGAAAATAAAATAAAATAAAATTGACAACTTTTCCATGTAAATTTAACAAGTTTTAATCAAATTTCATTAGCCTTTTATTATTATTTTTGGGTCACAAAAAAAGAGTGGAAAAAGCAGAGGGAAGGAATATAGTACAAGGTATTATCTATGCTCCAGATAAGAGTGAGTTGCTCTAGTAGTTAGCATCATTTACTTCCAATCAAGAGGTTTTGAGTTCGAGTCACCCCAAGAGCAAGGTGGGAGAATTCTTGGAGGGAGGGAGCCGAGGGTCTATCAGAAACAGCCTCTCTAACCCAGGGTAGGGGTAAGGTCTGCGTACATACTACCCTCCCTAGACTCCACTAGTGGAATTATACTGGGTTGTTGTTGTTGTTTGTATTATATGTGCTCCATGTATATATGCAAACGCATCATCCTTGTTATTTTTTCTCTTCTATTCACGAAATTCTTAGCTATTTTAATTGTTTGGTTCTAAAGATACAAAGAAGAAAAAATGTAGATAATTCAAGTAGAATAACTTACTCACATTCATTTGTACTAAATGATATTAATTTACTCTGATTAAATAATATGTCGAATTTGTTGATTTTTTTAATGTGAGTAGGAAAAAGTTCTTTTTGGATTGTATCTCTCCATCTCATATTTTTATTGCTTATAATAGCCTGTTTGGCCAAGTTTCTCCTTTCTTAAAAAAAAAAGTATTTTTTTCCAAAGTTGAAGTGTTTGGCCAAGTTTTTAGAAGAAAAAAAATGCTTTTGAGTAGAAGCAGAAGCAGTTTTGGAGAAGCAGAAAAAAATAATTTCACCCTAAAAGCAGTTTTTTGAGAAGCACTTTTGAGAAAAATACACTTAGAAGCACTTTTTAAAAGTTTGGCCAAATATATACTAATTGCTGCTTAAAAGTACTTTTCAAATTAATTAGCCAAACACAAACTGCTTATCACCAAAAATACTTTTGAAAAATCACTTTTGAAAAAAAAATACTTATTAAAATAAGCTAATTTTTCTAGCTTGACCAAACATGCTATAAATTTAGATGTGTGACTTATTTTTCACACAGCGCAAAAAATCTCCCCCTCTTCTTTGCATTATTGTTTTTCCAAAATAACTCAAGAGGCAAGTGTAATTTGCTCCGTCATTTGAGTTTGCCGAAATTTTGTAATTTGAAGTGCCGCTATTACAAAATAATTTTTTCTTTCTATCATAGGAGAAATTAATTTACAACAGTGAGGAGATTCAATTTCTTAAGGACACAGTCTGAATTCAATGGGTTCAAAATAATTTCTTGTTTCTGTTTGGATCAACGTTCTTCATTGTTTCTAATAGGAATACGTTTCTTCACCAAAAATGAAAAGAGAGGAAACGACTACTTACTCAAGATGTCATTAACTTGAAAATTCTTTGAAAAAGCCCAATCATTGTAATCAACGTTGCCTACAATCCAACCTTTAGAATCACCAACTTCATATACAGCAGCCGTAGATAGTTCAACGGAAGCAGCCATAATAAAGCACAGAAGAAGCATTATTCTTCTTTTGGTGAAAGCCATGGCTTAACTTCAAAGAGAATAATTTGAATATTAATGGATGCAAATGCCCCTTTAAATAACCATATTTTACTAGGAAAACCTTTTTATTATTTGAAAATTTCGCTTACCCAACTTATGGAAATTAATATAAAGGAAATAATGTAATTAAGTACCACGAAACCTTATTTTACTGCGAAGCAGAATTTCAACTTATGAAATCTTTTTTTTGTAATTATTCAAAACGTCATTCCAACTTTTGGAAGTTAATACAGAATTATATTATTTTGAAACTTCATCTTCTCAACTTATGGAAATTAATACTCCTGTAAAGAAATAATGCAATCAATAATTAAGAAGCACCACAAAAACATGTTACGTTTTACTGGGAAGCAGAATTATATTATTTGGAAATTTCGATTTCTCAATTTATAGAAATTAATATTAAGGAAATAATTAAAATAATAAGAGCTAATTAAGCACCACTAAATCTAAATGTAGCAGGAAAAGAATGGTTTCATTATTACGAAATTCCTTTCCTACTAATAGAAAAGAATATAATAGGAAAATTTCCAAACTCAAAGCTTTCAAAAAAAAGAATATTTAAAGAAAGAATTTATTCAAGTAATTCGACCCAAATACATTTAGCTGTGGGCAACTACGATAACTAAAATTTATTTTTTTTCTCAAAAATTTAGGGGACAAACACTAATTACACACGTACCTCGTTGCACCTCTATAAAGTTCCAAATTAAACATGGTAAGTACTTGTATGATTTAATTTTTGGCAATACTACGTTTAGTTATTACCTTTAGTTTCATTGGAACTTCTAAAGTACTTGGAAATTAAATTTCCAAAATTAAAGTAGTAGGCATGTTTCCTAAAATTCTAGTCCTAGCAAGTAAGGAGGCAATTAACTACGCCTTTAAAAGTACCTTAGAGGCTTATTCATTGGCACTGACAAATTAAAACTCTTGGTAAGATCTTTTGCTCTTGTTGTTATATTATTCAGAAACTAGACATCACAATCTTTCGAAAATAGTAATTTAATAACTTATAGCAACGTGATTAATTTGAAGCGATTAATTAGAGTCGGGGAAATCTATATAGCAAATTTAAACTTCAAATTAAGAGAGAGGAGAGGGAGTTGGAATATATACCACCAAAGTATAGTTTCAAATGACATCATTGTGAAACATAGGGGCGTACTTAGCATTGTTTTCAAGCGGTGTCGATATTTATAGAAAAACGTAACGAAGAATAAATAACACCCCACTAATTATCATATTACTCAACAAAAAATAACCTTAGTCCATTAGTTTTATAGAGTCTTAACTTAGAAGATGTCATAATTTCAATTCTACTTTACCACAACTCTTAACAATATATGTTCTTTCAAATATTTTTAAAAAATATGATCTAGTTGTGGTTTGAACCTCTAACCTCTTAAAAAAAATCAAGAACTTAACTAGTGTGCCTAGTAACAATATATGTCAAGTGATGTCATTTTCTTTATCTTATTGTAACCCTACAATATTAATACATATATTTCGTAAAATATTTCCGACGAAGGGGTGTCACGAGTTTCATATGCATCCGCCCCTGGTGAAACAGTAATGTGAAAGCAAATGTTAGTCAAAAGCGCACTCATATCAAGCAGGTGTTTTATTGAGTTTTGACTTTTGCAACCAAACAAATGCATACCAGTGTTTTAAAAGGCGTGGGCGTAAGGCGGGACATTTTACATATGCCTCAGCGGGGCGTAAGCCCCATAGGTATTTAATTTTTAATATTTTATAAAATAATATAATAACAGTAAATATTTATAAACAGGTAAAATTGCATAAAAATTGAAAAAAACTATATATATATGTGTGCTCCATCCCCACAAAAAACTAATCAAAACAATCTATTATACGTTACTTACAAGCACAAGTAATTTGAGTCTAAAAAAATAAATTTTTCTATATGGAGGAATAAAAAGGATGATTAACCTGTAATTTGAACTTTGAATTTGCTGCTATGAAGAAGAATGTAGTTCTCTTTGTATTTGTAAAAAAATTAAATATTCGTTACTTTTGGGAGATATTAGCAGACTAGCGGACAAGATAAAAAATTGAGAAAACCATGAATTAGGGCTTAAATCAATAAAAAAGATCTTTATTTTTAAATTTAATACTTTTGAGTTCATTTTTAAACCTTTTGAGTAATTACAAAACTCACTTTTGAGAATTTGGGTATTATATGAAGGACTAATTCAACAAATTTTGTTTTAATTTAAAAAAGTCTCTGGGCTTTACTCCATACTAAAAAAACGCGTCTCTTGAGACTTTCGCCCCATACTATCGCCCCGGGGCTCGCCCCAGAAACACCTTTTAAAACATTAATGCATACACTATTGTATTACGTGACCAAATTTAGGAAGCCTAACACATTTAATTAATTATTCATGTTTGTAATATCTGCCCTTTTTTTTGTTTGACATAAAGTGTTCGTTACTATTAGAGCCGTCAATATAGGTTTGTCTATCCCTAGTCCATTATTTGATCGTGAGCCAACCCTTATTAACAGCTCTAACATAAAGTAGTGTTTTATCGTATATAAGACCTTACATATGAATTGTGTAACATGCAGTTTTCAACTACGACCCGCAGTTGCACAATGTGAGGCAAGTGAACGTCGACGACTATAACACATGCAGCGATAAAACTCCAATAGCCAGTTTCAATTTCGGCAGCGATTCAGTCATCCTCGCAACTCCAGGGGACTATTATTTCTTGTGTGATATTTCACGTTAAAATCGCAGCTCCAGCAACACCTCTTCTAACTCCGATAGCCCCAACAAAGGGTAATCCTAATCATTTTCCTAGTAATCCCACAAAGAAGCCACCTGAAACTTTGTAACCTTATCATCCCTCTGCAAATACTGCTTATTATTCATCCAAGTGGTTTCCAATTAGCATGTTATTGCCATTGATTCTTGCTCTTTCTTTTTTATTATTGGCTTTGGCTCCTAGAAATGGTTGCGATTCTAAAATTGTAGATCATAATATATGTGGGG